TTCAACCACAAGTGGCAGAGGCACTGGCCCGACCTTCAGATGGGCGGTGTCAAGCGAAGCATACGGGGCCTGTTTCCAGTATGTTTCCCTGCACATACCTTCGTTCCGTTGCGGATCCAACTTGCGTCCGCCCGCGGCCGAGGCTTTGAAGCAGCTCGCCTCCAAGATGAGTGCGGTGGTGCGCTACGGCCGGGTGGCCAAGCTGCCAGTGAAGCACTTGAAGCCACTGGAGGCGTCGGAAGTTGTTGCCCAAATGCGACCGAGCGGGTTCTGCACATGAGAAGCCCTCCAGATGCTTTGCGGCCTTTGCCTCAGTGAGATTCCTAAGCTGAAGGAATTTCAGTTGCCATGGCAAAGGTGTCGGTTGGTTCTCTTGTCGGATGTGCGGGAAGTTCCTGAGTCATTTTTTCGTGCGGTTCCCAGGCGGCGAGCAGGACGTCTTCGGGAAGATGCGGAAGATGATCCAGGAGCGTTGCATCATTCCGAGTCGAACAGGGACGGGTAGCTGGCACCCCGGGTCAAAGAGCCCCGGTTTGCTGCAAGGCAGATTGCATGATAGTCGGGTGTTCACGGGAAACGGAATCTTTTGACCGCGGCTTGTATCGCTATGCCGTACAGTTGTTCTTGTGTTTGCAGCAACCTTTCTGACATTTGAGACTGACACCGATGTACCTTGCACTCTTGGGTCATACGGTATGATGCAAATCATGGACTGAGGATGCCACCAGCTGCAGCATGCTTTTCTTACCAAAAAGATTGGGATCTCGAAGATTCACTTGTGGAAGGGGCCTGCGATGCAAGGGCACGGTGCATTGGAGCATGCCTGGCTGGCTGGCGTACCTACCGTTGCCGTCAAGAAGTCGCATTCGAATGTGCCGACGTTGACCCTCCAGACAGAATTTGAACCTTATCCTCCTGAGTTCCTGACTGTTTGGGTGTTTTTTGCACTATCAAGCAGGCTCCTGAGGAGTTGGGCAGCATGAAACCGTGGGAGGCCAAAATGCTTGCCTTGAAGCGGCGCACAAGGGCATCAGCATCTTTAAAAGGGGGCCTTGTTTGACCTTGCGAGCTTTCGCCCAAATGCGTTCTGTTTGCATCCGGAAAGAAACAACAAGTCCATGTGGCCCTGGGGTCCCCTCATAGCTGAGAAGCAGGTATTTTTGCATCCTTACCTCCATAAGGGAGCACCGAAATAGTTCTGTTCCACACCTGGTGCTCTCCACTTTGAGTGGATGGTGGTTGTTTGGATTTGCCTCCATGGCTGCATTCTGAATAACTTGGGGGCACTTCTTTGCTGACAAGAGGCAACACAGAAATGTCTGTTGCCGGGACTCGCAATTGGGACAAGTGCCAACCTCACGCGATGCGGCATAGGGGGCTTGGCCTTGTGAGGAAGAAGAACGGGGGGTCGGGGCGCAACATCCGCTCGCGCCGCTTTCTGGCTCTGAGAGACCCAATCTTTGCAATTCTCGGACACTTGGGTCATGAGCCTTTCCAAACAGTTGCCCTCCCGGTTGGCCGCCGTGGTAGGGGTCCTTGATTTTCTGACAAGTCCACCTCAGACTGAATCATTGGCGGGCTTACTTGTGGGCCTCAGATTGCAGATTTCAGCAGACTAGCCGTCACTCTGTGGGTGCTGGATGCGATCACCACTGCTGCGAGGGTGGATTGCTCAGCAAACGCATCATCTGAGGCTGGGACTTGGAAACAGCTGGCATGGATTGGTCTAATTTGAATAGCGACATGCTTTCACTGAATGTAGCAATGAAACAATGGATGTACATTCTCCATGCAGAAAAGCTGATGCAGCACCTCCTGTGCAACGCAAAAGTACACCGCCGGTGAACGACTGACCAAACAGTTCTTTCACGTTGGTCTCATGCTTTGCGAGGCTGATGCCCACTCTCACCTACCTGGCCGGGGGTAGAGTCTCAGAGTTCGAGAGAGAAAGAGGGTGAGAAGAGGCCCAGGGGCGGTTTAGGACGGCTCAGGTTTGTGCGGTTGCAAGGATGGTTCATTGCATTGCTTTGGGTGCTGGAGGCCCATGCGCAAGAGGATCTGAGAAATGTGTCCAGTCGGAACAAGCTTGGCAGGAGCGCCTCGTGATATTTATTGGTTGGTCTTTTGTTTTAAAGGAGCTAGCTTTGGGCATCATTATGTAAAGGAGAGCAGTGAAGAGATGTTAACATTTCTGTCCTGGAAGAGACCTGGTTTGCTTTGCATAGGATGTCAAGGGCCTTGGCGAGCCAATCCGCTTGACGCTTTTCGCCCGGTGCTTGGCATTCAGCTGAAACACATGCTACCAGGCCTGTTCCTGTGTCCATTCGACGAACATGATGCTTTGGCAGATGGTCGCGCAATTCTGTATGCCGTGTGACACTATGTGAATTCGTCTGCTGCCAGTCAAGCGTGGAGGTGCGTGTTTCTCAGGACTCGATACTCGGCCTCTGTGCTCTGCCATCAGCCCAGGTTGGCAATGTGCCCTTCGAGGACAAGCGCGTCAGTTATGAGGACCGAGAGCGAGTTGCAAGAGCCGTTGGCGCACCAACGACTTATCTTCAGTGATCAGCGGCCTTCACATTTGCCACCAGGAGGTCGCAGAGCTGAACAACAAGGGCAAGCTGCCCTTTGGTCAGGTCCCGGCTCCTCGGCTGCCATGGGAAATTATGGGGGGTTGAACTATGAACACTCAAGGGGTCATATAGAATCGACCCTCGCTGTGTTTTCTGGGTCATGTGCAGCCGTCTCTTCTTTGGCGGCCCTTGAATGGTAGGTCTCAAACAGGGCTCGCCATGGGACAATGGGACCGCCCGTGAGGTGCTGGAGCTGGACGGTGAGGCGTGGCATTTTGGGGGTCCTTGCTTTGAGGGGGGTCCCAGGATTTTGGGAAACACAGAGAACAAAAGCGTTTGGGAGGGGACCTTGGTCTTGACGCACAGCCATGTTTGGAAGATGGGTTCCCCAAGAAACAGCGGTCATTCGCCAATGGCAGTTCTTGTTTGATGCCGTTTTCTGGAGGGAAGGGTCTGAATCCTGGAAAGGCACCAAGTGAGTTCAGGCAACACGCACTGCCACTAGCCGCCCTTGCTGCAGCCGTTCCCTCTTCCGGAACTTGCCCGCGTTTCGGTCTCTCAGTCACTTCCCTTTTGGACTCGCTGGCATGTGCGTCTCGGGGAAGGTTTGCCCATGAGCAAGAACGGCTGCTTCTGCACATCTTGGCATTTGCTGTGCGAGTGCCTACTTTGGTGCTCCTTGACGTGCCACGTACGCAAAGGAGTTGGAGTATCAACCATCCTTCGGCCTCGAGCCGCCCTGAGTCCTCACCTGGGGATAGAAATAGCTCATCCATGATGAAGGTCCACTGCTAAGGGGGGTCCCATATTTCCGGTTGGGAATTCATAGACATTTGCCCAGATTGTGTGGACAAACACAAGAAGGCGCTGAAGCAAACAAGCAAAGTCTGCAACCTGCCAGACCTACGCTCAGAGCGGCGCCCTCCTCCGCTGGGCGGGCCGGCAGGCATGGGCCACCAGAGACGAGCCCGGAGAACCCCTCTGGTTGCTTGGTCGCACTTTGCGACTTTGTTAATCCTGCTGAACTCCAGATTTTAGATTTCAAGAACATCTTGCAGCTTGGTTCTCTTGGGCCTGGCTGAATTGAAGAGATTCGTGATTGGCTTCTGTTTCTCTCCATCGGCTGCGAGCTATTTGGTCTCTGCCCAAATAAGTTCTGGAGTGCGTAGCAGCTCGGGAGGTTTCCGAGTTGGGTGGGGGACACCTGGGCGTTTGTGCAAAGGTTTTGTTCGGGGATTTCCGCCAAGCCTTGATCACATCCATCTGCAGAGCGACGACGCAGGCGGGGCTCTACCCGGAAGAGCCGGAGCTCCAACTGCGGTGCGAAGCAGTGGAGGACGAGCCAAGAGCCAATTGCGGAGGTCGACGGTTCCCCCTTTACTTTAAACTTTACGCAAAAGAAACAGAGCCAAACGGATGGTGGAATAAACAAGTTGCGCTTGACCCTCCAAAAAGGTGCTTGAACGGGTCGACAACAAAGTGGCATCAACCAAACTGGGCACGAATTCCAAACCACACTGTGAGCGGCCTCTGCTGGCTACAAACTTCCTCGCTGAGGAAGATCTCCATTTCCAAGCCGCATGCGCTTTTTTGGGTCTGCCGATTTGGATCTCGGCTTGGACATTGCTTTTTGGGCAAGTGAGTACTTGGTTTTCAGGGTACCACAAGGAGTTTTGTTTGGTGTGCCCCAAATTTTTCATCCATCCCCTCGTGGTGTTTACTGACATTCGGCACAAGTGCATTTAGCCCAGTGGTATGGCAGTCGTGCGATGGTACGCCAGGAGGCACTCACGGACATGAAGAAGGTGCTGGTGCCCGTTTGGTATGGGTCAATCTTGGGGCGGAACCCCATCACCAAGGAGAGCTGCATGCAGACGATGTGGCAGACAGGGGTGTCTGCATCTATGGTAGAAAAGTTGTGAATTGTGGTATCAGTGTCAAGTTGTTCGACAGGCAGGGAAAGACCAGAGAAACCTTCCAGCTACCTGATTGGGATACAACATTGATAGTGGCTCGTTTCAGCTGACCCGCGGGCTTGTTTCCAAGTGCAAAGTTTGTGGACGAGCACGATCAGGAAACTGTCATCATTCGGAATCGTTCCAAGAAGACAATGTTGAGCATGCCTAGAGTCAGATTGTGCATTGACACGAGGGCGGATAGTGTGAAAGTAGGCGAGAGGAGTGCCAAAGCAGTCAGTCGAGTGGGTAGGGAAGGTGCAGTAGGCGTGGACGGCTGGCGGTAATCGGGTTCGCTGAGAAGACAGTTTCGCGCCTTTGCTTCTCAGCATTTTTTCTGGTGCCCAAGCCTGGATGAGCCAGACCTCATGTGTCGCAGCTCGGCTCCCTTTTTGCCATGTTGAAGGAGTTGTGGAAGCAACCTTGAAGTCAACAGGAAGGCACCAGGAAGCTGGATATTCGCAGCTATGTGCAGGGAACCGCCCGGTTTTGAGACGCCCTAGGAGCAATTGGTGACGCTGCCTGAGGAAACGATCCAACAGGTGATCAAGAACCTGAATGAGATTGCTCGGAAGCCCGGGGCACGTCGCTGCGTCGCTAGCCCCTGTTTTTGACAGGTTAGGTTTGAGAAAATTTTGATCCATTGGGACAGCGAGGGCCCAAAGGAGGGCACCGCTCGAGGTGCTGCCAGCTCGCTTCGGCCAGCTCGAGCAGTTTCTGGCGACAAGGCCATACTTCTGTGGGGAGAGGCAGGGGCCTCGGGCGAAGCCGACGTCCAGACAGGTCGCGAACCTTCCTGAGTGTTTGATATCTTTATGGAACCAAAGAGGAGCCCAGTTGCAACTTCATAGCATGTCCAACATCTTCCTGCAGAAGCTGGAGCCTGACACGTGGAACCGAATACCACAAGAACTCAAACCGAACGGTTCTAGGTTAACCCTTTTGCTGCCCAAGCTATCTCCACTGGCATGCAGCGCGAACTCTTTCAACGTGAACAGCTTGCAACCTAGGCTTGCTCGGTGCAGCGCTGCAAAGCACAACAACGCTTTGGGAAAAGATGACGCAAGCATCAACACCAAAGAAAGCCGCTGCTTTCTTGGCTTTGGTCCCCTTTAGAGGGAAACCCGAATGAGGTGGTAAGCAATCGTGGTCTAAACTTGTTTAAGCAAGGCGTGGGCCAATCCTTTGCCAAGGATGTCCATTTGCGACATTAGCTTCTATGTCTACGCCTCGGGCCTCATGGAAGGGACCTACGCGAAGGGCATCCGACCAGAGGTGCTTGATCAATGCCCAGGCGAGGGGGCTGGAGCCCTCCGGCAATTGATTCATTGGATCTGGGATTTTTAGTATTGTAAGGTGCAAATTGTCCAGACAAACTCAATGCCTGTTTTGCCCATCTGAAGTCGGGGCCACAAAGGGTCCTTTCCTTTTCAGTCCTGGCAAGCAGGTAATTAGTGGCTGAATCGCTTGCCGGAAGACACCGGACGTGCGACTTAGTGATAGTTGCACAGCGGCTTTTGGCTTTGAGCGCCATGCTGCTGTATTAACTCTGGTCGTGTCACAGAACCAGTGGCAGAGCTTCATTGCAACGGTACTGCTTCTTCAGGCCCAAATAGCAGTAGATGGGCGGAACAGGCATGCAGTGTAGCACGTTGTGACAACTTTCGTTGCACTTTCTGGCCAGTAGCACAAGGACGGTCATGGCAAAACGTGTCCGAAGCCTTCGGCCTTGATGTTGGAACCTTTTGAAAGCCTTCGGAGCAATGCTGATTGGAAAGAGACCATTTTTTTGACTTCGAGCCTCAGCTTGGCAGATCTTGTTTCGCAAGCGCGTCATGCAAATTTGCTTGCTTCAGATAGGTATTTATTTGCATTCCACGAAGGCTGTTTTCTGATGCGGCTGCTGAAGAAGAAGAAGAGGATGATGATGATGACAATGATGATGATGATAATGATGATGATGATGATGATGATGATGATGATGATGATGACGACGATGACGATGATGATGATGATGATGATGATGATGATGATGATGATGATGATGATGATGATGCTGATGCTGATGCTGATGCTGATGCGGATGCGGATGCTGATGATGCTGATGAGGAGGAGGAGGACGACAACAACAGCAACAACAACGACGCTGAAGTACATGACGATGACGATGACGATGACGATGATGATGATGATGATGATGATGATGATGATGATGATGATGATGATGATGATGATGATGATGATGATGATGATGATGATCATGAGGATCATGACGATGCCGAAGATGATGATGATAACAATGATGATTGTCCAAAGCCGTCTTTATACTGATGAAGTACTGGCTTGAACACAAGCATGTAGTAACGCAGTATTTTGTAGGAGTTCACAGTCAGATTTAGTGGGGAGGGGGGGGACGTTTTGGCCCAGGCCTAGTTTCGCTTTGAAGGCGGTTTGGCTAAGCAATGGCCAAGCAGGTTGCACAATTTTGCCGGGCTTGTTTGCTTTTGCCTGTTGTACGCTCTTGCTTTATCACCGGGACTCGAAGTTGCAACCTTGCTCCCTAGCATTAAGTACGCCTGTATAACCTCTGCAAGTCCGAGGCCAGAGCGGGCAAGTTCTACAAAGTGGGGACCCTTGCCTTAAATGTATCTTATGGAGGGGAAACCTGTGATCTTGGTACATTCCCCTTGATGTAGCTCTTTCAGAGTCACCAGTCCCGATTTCCCCTGGCCAAGTCGATTGGAGGCGTTTGAGAGGGACGACGCAGCCTTTCCAGGCTTGAAGGGCTTGGTGGACCGCATCTCCAACCACCCGCGCGTCAGCCTGGCTTGCGGGCAACTCACTGTCCCTTGTTACTGTTCCACTCTCGCGGATCGCTTCGAACTGGCCATTCTGCAGTTTGTGCGCAGAGCAGGGTTCTTTTAGCCCCAATGTGTCGAAACTCCCCTTCAGGTCGATGACTTTCTGCATGAATCGCGTATGTCTGGCTTATGTCTGGTCGGTCAGTCTTGGCCTCGTGATTTGAAATCTTGGAAAGGAATGTACCGAAAACGGTGGTTTTCCTTGGATTTCCCACTCAGAGACACACACACACACCCATATCTATGTATATATATATATATTTCTAATTGTACATCGTTGGTGTTTTGACTGTCCCTGGTGAGGACCCTGGCGAGGAGCTTCCATCAATCCTTCTAAAAACATTTGAGAGCAACATGGAAGTGTCAACAGCGCCCGTGTGTCAAAATTGAACAGCATGCAGCTTTTTGGAGTAGAGGGCTTTGTTCATGGGCTTGTTGCATGTCTGCGAGTTGCGCTGAATCCAACACCCAAGAACTCCGGGCCCAGAACTCGGCACATGCGGCGGGAGTCGAGCCATTTGTTGTGCGCAGCTGCGACAAATCCAAGAGCTGTCGGCCGGAGAAGCCACTGAAGCCATGGCAGACAGCAAGCTGGAGCACTTTGCCATCACGCGGAACAAGATCGTGGTGGCAGGCCTGAGTAGGCGAAAACGGAGGCAGAGATGCTGGGCTCCCTCCCCTTGGGAGAACAGGGATGTTCCGACACAACTCACTCCTCGCGATCCATCATTTCCCCATTCCACCAAGCCATATGTCTGACAGTTCCAATGCTCAGGAATGTTGGCCAGGAACCAGTAGGGTCCATTTCCGTTACGTGTCCCAAGGGGCCCTGAGAGTCGTTCCCTCGCGAGGCTCGCTGGTGCTGGGCGTCACGGCCGTCTTGGACCTCCTGCGCCGCAAGAGCCGTCCCAAGGGTCAGCCGCTGCCGGTGCCGCCAGGCGCTCGGGGGCCCGAGGGGGCCTCGGGGGCGGCCGAAGTGGGGGGGATATTCAAGTCCTTCAACGTCACCTCATTGTCAGAGGTGACTTTCCTTTTGGTGTTTTGGAAGGCAGATGGCGCCCCCTTTACAACTTCCCCCCTTTGCCGACATCAGTCATATTGTGCCATGGCTTCTTCTTAATTCTCATTCTTTGCACCCAGCTTTCTTTTCCGACATCATCCGATGCAAGCCTAGAAAGAATCGGACAAGTCCAATATTTCAGATTTTTTGTTGACTCCTGGGGATGTCGGATCTCCCCCCTTTGACATGGGATGGTCAGTTTTCTTTGTGTGCACCCCCAAATCCAGCTGTGTAAATCTAGACTCCCATGTGCATACTCAAGGTCTCCCAACCTGTGCAGTATCTCCGGCGTTCCCCCACTCTTCCCAGCTACGTATTTCTGTTGAATGTCCCCAACGTGCAAAGCTATGCTCAGTCTGCTTGAAGGTTGTTGCCGAGTCTCGCGGACCATTCATCACTATGCCATGAGATCTTCAATCAATGTTGTATGGTGCCATTTTGGGCAATCCTTTCTTCCACTGATGGTGGTTCTGCCTATCCGTGGTACGGAGAAGAGGTAGCTTTGTAGAGGTAGCTTTGTAGAGGTAGCTTTGTGGCAGCGGGAGAGTTTGCCTGGAACCCCGATTTGCGTGACTCAACGTATCTTTTGGTACAAACCTTTGCGACTATGGTACGCATTTCAGTGGAAGCAACCTCAATTGGGTTCGGGGCTCGCAGCGAGAGAAAGAGACAGAGATGCCACAGAAAACATGATCCAATCCCACACCCACATTGGCTGCCTTGCGTGCTGCATACAAGATTGAGGCACCATCACCAGCTTCTGCTCAGGAATCAAGTTTTCAATCTACCGAGAAGCCTGCGCGGCAGTCAAATAAGTGTGTTTTGGTCGCATGGACGCTGTGAACATTCTCCATTTCGGTAGTAGGCTTTCTAAAGTTCAGTTTGCGAAGCAAGCGTCGATTTCTATTGTGAGACAAGGACACCTGCGCTTGTTGAAACTTTCAACACACCCAAACAGATGTCTTGTTCGATTTTCATTGCTTCTCAAGTTTGTGAAGGGGCGCAGGCCATTTCGAACGTCTTTGTAATTTTGAGACCCTTTCCTGACGCCTCCTTCTTGCTCAGGATCAGCTGCAGCCTTTGCTTCTGATCGCTGGTTTCCCCCAAGCAGCCTGGTTTTTTTCGAGCGCCGGTTGTGCCGGGTTGTGCCGCACTCGCGGCGCCTGCGCAGGCTGGTGGCCAATTGTGGGGCACTTTGCGACATGCATGAGATACTGCTGGGAGAACAGCAACCTCGCCTTCACCAAGTGGGGCCTCGACCTGCAGCGCCGGAAAGGTCCCTTGCTTGGGCCGGGCCCCTTTCGTGTGCGTCGTGAGAGGTAGCCAGGCAAGAAAAGCAGGAAAGCCTCACGGGAAGAAATAGACCCGGGTCTGGCTGTGTGGTTTTGCCCCAGGTGAGGAAGTTGAAGTGCGGGGAGACATGGCCCATTGAGCTTAATTGCGGTAGTACCTGGGCACAAGTTGATTCCGGAAGCAGACACCTTGGACCCGTTGTGGCGTAGTCGCAAAAGGCAATCACATCATTCCCCCCCGCCCCATGTACTTCCTGTTCAGCTGTTGGGTTGGTTGTAGGGAAGCGTCTGCCATTTGAGCACCCTCCCTCCCACCCTTGTGAGAATATTGCCTTTGCTGTCTCATAAGATTGCTGCTTTGTGAGCCTTGTCAGGCCATAATATGGGGTGCGCTTGCGATTTGGGGGTAAAGGGGTGGGGTGTCTGCGTGATAGATGCTTTGACAGCCTCGCACCGTTGCAATGTTTTGAACATGAACTGGCCGATTTACCTGAGCAGCGTTCAAAACAACATGACACAAGTTGATTAAGGTGTGGGGGGCCCCCAGGCAATGTGATTTGGTACAACCCCCAGTTGCGACTTTCAAGCTGGAGCTGCTTTAAAGGGAACTTTGTGTACTGCGCTCGTATTGCAAAGTTGCGACTGTTGGGCTGGAGCTGCCAGAGTGTGCGTCGCGCGCTGCCCTTGTAGTGGAAATATGCAGCTTTAGAACTTGAGCCTGCCAGGTGTACTTCGTGCGCCGCCGTGAAACGTTGCTGGTTTTGAGCTGGAGCTGCCAGAGTGTACTACGTGCTGCCCCTGTGCTGAAAAGTTGCGATTTTCGGGCTGAATAACCATCCGCGACAGCCAGAAACATAGCTTGAGACCGCCGCTCATGTTCCAGTGCTTCTTTTGGAGATGTGCATGAACCAATGAAGGTGATGGACACAGCTTGAGTGAGTTGTTGGGGTTTCTCTCTAAGGTAACATGTACATATACAGCGACACATGTCGGTGTGTCGGTGTGTTCATGTGTGTCTTGTGTTCCTGCACACAGTATGGTACACATGCAAACATGTTTACGTGCATACACACATACACACATACACACATACACACACACATACACACATTCGCGCACACACACACATACGCACACATCCACACATAGACAGACGCAGGCGCACACACACACACACACACACACACGCACACATACATACACACAGACAGCCATTCATCCATACATATCTGCAAACATTTGTTCACACATACATACATGCACGCACGCACGCACGCATGCGCGCATACACGCATGCATACACACACATCCACACACATACACACACATACACACACATACATACACACACATACACACACACCTACATACACACACCCAGTCACGCACACACACACACACACACACATACACACACATACACAGACAGACACGAACACATGCACACGCACACATACATACATACATACATACATACAGACATACATACAGACATATAGGCATACAGACATACAGACACGCACACACACACACACACGTAGAGACACATGCACGTACACAAACACACACACATATTCATATACATATACATAGACATAGACATAGACATATACATACACATACACAGATACATACATAACCATATACATACAGACGTACATGCGTACGGTACGTGCGTACGTACGCACACATAGACGCATACATGCATGCGTATAGTTCCCCGCGCCCATATGTGAGCTAGCCCCTTACCCCCTCCCCCTCCCCCCCCCCTCCGGCAACGCTGCTAGATGGGGGACTTCAATTTTGACCGGCCAATGGCAACCGGTGCCCTTTAGACCGCCATGTTCCCGGAGCCTTTCAGACCCACACTGGTTTTCGTGGATGATTTTCCGACCACTGAGCATATTTCTACTGTCTTCCGAATTGAAATCGCCACATGGGATGTATTTGTCCGACCGTGGAAGGTATTTCCCGTTGCATTCCCCAGACTCATTCAAAAGGACTACAGTTGGCTGCAAGTACGGCACGCTTTTTGATTGTTTAGTCATCCTCTTCGCTTACCCACATGCCATCTACTTTCACACTGGCGCAGGATAAGGATCTTTATGGCACGTATTTTGGGGACATTTTTCATGCCTTCCCAAAGCCCATGAGGGGAGAACACCTGGGAGGCATGAAGATCTTCGAGTGCAGCTTCGTTGGCAGTCGGATCGTCCTCGTCCAAGACGCCGACCTGGTCCAGGAGATCTTCACAAACGACCCGGAGAGGCCGAAATGGATGCCCTGAATTGTGCGCGCACGCGTGCATGCGTGCGTGCGTTCGTGCGTGCGTGTGTGCGTGCGTGTGTGCGCGCGTGTGTGCGGTGTGTGTGTGTGTGTGTGAGAGAGATTCTTTTTGAGAGTATTTTTCTTTTGTTTTCCATGGACACCAAAGAAAACTGCACATTTTGGGGTCCCCCAATTTTGACACATGCTGAAATGTTGCAAGCGTCAAAGGTTGGTGGACTTCCATCCCCTTACCATTCTGTCCGCCCTTGCACTCCCAAACATTATCCAGGGCTATGAATTTTAGTTGGGAACCAGCTCACAAGTGGATGTGACATGAACCCCCACCTAAATGTCCACAAAAGGGTCCCCTATTCACATCCATTTGGATGCCCGGCGATCGCAATACCCGCTTTGCCCTTGTTCCAGTGGAGGTGGTTCTTCCATGGAAAGTGGGTGAGCCCAAACCGGAGCGTCTCAGGGGACAGGAATAAATGCTGTACACGCATTACATGCACATTTTGGTTTTGACGTTGCACTTATCTTCTCCAGATTCTCCGGTGCCGAACGTTTTGGGTTTTCACACTGTTGCGATCTGCGCGGCAAGGACTGCTAGATACCCTACATGCGGCAACGCACCATCGAAGCCACTCCAACTTGCAGTAGAATTGTTGCCGCTGGTGTTTAGTGCACGTGCGAATGTTCAACACGTACTGAGGGCTAAGTGTCCTGAACAGGCAGCATATCAGACGTCTCTGTTTTGTGGTTTGATTTGATCAAATCAAAGACATATGCACAAGCAAGACACATGCCAATGAAGCGTCGGTGCGAAATCAGAGTTTCAACAACACGAAGGAGTTTCCGTAAGATTGAGATTGTCACTGATGAAGAGCCCATCAAGAACGGACTTCCATGTGAATCGAATGGCATTCTCATTATGTTGATGGCTTAGAGCTGTATGTCATATACATGCATGGGTGGTTGGCAATCTGTTTGTGTAGGTCAAGCCCGTCCAACAGTGGTGGAACAGGGCCGCCTTGGGGACGTACATTTTGCCTCATCGTTGGAAAACCGCAGCTTTGGGTGAGTGCATCCTCTCAGCCAATAGCACCGGCACCACGGGGAGCAGCGCTCAATTAGCCGTCGAACGCCCCTGGAGGTGGGCAAGGCTAGAGGCTGCTCGCCCACATGACCACTTGACCAAAGCCTGCCCACATGCGGTTTTGCTTTGAAGGTCGCACAAAAGTCAGCTTCTCGCCTTGCCAGCTGCTTGGTTTAACAGGCTTTCCCCATTGCAGCATTGTACTTGCACGCGCGTGACTACAAGACAAGTGAGGCAGCGTCCATACCACGTGAGCGTTCAACCACTTCCTACCAACCTTTCGCAGCTCGTTTTGCTTTTTGCACATGTTGCTCCAGCCTTTTGCCTTTTCATTCGGGACAACGGTACTCGTACATCATCCCGTTTTCCGTGCATGGCGTCTCCCATCGTGGCGGGAGGTTCACCAAAGACTTCTCCGACGCCCCGTTGGGCGGCGACCTCCTGGAGCACTCCTTCAGGGATGGGCTCTTTACAGCAGCCACCGACGACGTCAAGTGGCAGGCGGGTTCCGTAACCATCACGTCCAGGAGCCGTGGAAAGGGAGCAGGCCATGCTCCGCAACAAATGACTACCTTGGGCCATGTGAAGCCCTGGAGAGGAATACGAAGCCTAGTCTTTGAACTGGCTCCACTGGCTTGGATGCCCCTCCCAAAGCAGCGTGGCGAGAATCAATCCGGGATTTGCGCGTGCATGAGCAAGGAGTCAGCGGCAATGTAAGGGAAAGCCGCTGACTTGTGTCAAGCTTTGGATCCAAATCAGGAACTTTACAAGGCCCAAGGGGACCTTCGTCCCATGGCTGTTCGAACAGTGCGTGGTACTGGAGTTGGGGTTGATTAGGCTGAAGCCGTTGGGCAAGTTTGTGGATGGAATGTACATGGAAGCATTCTGCAATAAGGACTGGTGCGTGCCTCTCAGCCCGCAGGTTGCGCACCGGGTGCTGATCCAGCCGTTCTCGGTCCGAGGCGGGATTGCGAGGCATCAATCCCAGAGATTGCCCAAGCTGGGCCGGGAATCGACCCCATCCACCTACACGAAATGCTGTTGTCACCCTTGGAGCGGAGACGGCTAGAGTTGCGAATGGCCCTCCTGTGATTCATGGCCCTGTGATACGAGCATTGGGCTATTGGAAGGACCGTGGTCAGTTTTCATGGTTATCCGCGCAGCACACCCACCAAATTACCGCAAGTGAATGGGAGGACTTCTCACTCAATTCCCCTGGCAGGGGAGAAAACCAGCATTGCCTCTTGCTCGGGTATAGTTTCTAGATGCGATGATTTGCATATACATATATATATATATGTATATACACAGATTCAGATGTGACGAGCTATTGAGGCTTCACGATTCTGGACCAACAAATCCGCTCAAAACAAGATTGTGTTGGCCCTCGTCAAAGTGAGACACATTTGCCCGCCCTTGAACCCTCTAGAAAGAACATTTGTTTAAAGTCCATTTTGCACCTCGTCTCTTCTTTTTGGCAGTTGGTTCTTCATCAAACATGGCCAATCAACAAACAGCGCCCTTTCCTTTCCGTCCCCCCCCCCCCCGACAACCAAGAAGCCGGGCTGGCGCCCATCGAGGTGTTCGCGGCGTCATGCCGCTCATGTGCGAGCAAGCGGACCAGCTGATGAAGGCCATGAAGCGAGACGTGGGCTACGGTGGGACCACCTACATCGACGCTCGGGGAATCTTCCGGGACAAATTGGTCCAGGCCGTCCAAAGGCCCCAAGGCCCCAAGGCCTCAAGGCTAGGGAACTTTGGTTGCCTTGCAATCGCTGAAAGTGCCGGGCTTGAAGCGGGGCACCCGTGACAAGGAAACTGCCTGGCAGTACACAAGTGCCCAAGGCCGAACCCGCCAGGAGTCCGCACAGCCGCTATGATTTGCTCTCTCACTTTTCGGCCTTTTGTTACGGCGCTTTGGGATTGATTGCCAGCTGATACAACGCAATCCTGGATCTCCTGGTCTGGGGTCAAGGAAGTTGTCAGAAGCATGCCCCTCGCTTGGAGAGTGTTTCCAAGGACACCTGGGTGACCAAGATGGCCTTCGAGACCATTGCAGTGTGCGGTCTCGGAGTGCCGCTGAGTCAAGACACCACAAACACAGTCGGGAGCCTTGCGCCCATTTTCGGGGACTAATCTGGAACATGCACCGGGGGTCACCGGGTGTTTCCTTTGAGTGTTGGTCACTTCCAATGTTTAACTGGCTCTTGTGAAGGTCTTAGAAGCATCAGCATGATCAAGCAATCAAGAAGCCAATCAACCCGTTTCTGCCTGTTTGTTTCTGCATGCTCGTTGCATCTTGTTCTCCTGGAAGCGCCTGCAGTGTGCCACGGGTCCCGCTTGGCACCCCTGATTGTTGGACATGTTTTGTAGCACGGGGTTGTGAATTGTTGCAATTGTCGGGCAAAGGAGCAAAGGAGGAAAGTTCAATTTTCCTTTTTAACCTTCGCCCCTCCACTAGCTGTGCTGCACGGGCAGAGATACACGTTTCCAGCGAAAGCCCAGAGCAAACAAGCCAAAGTACAACCACACTGTGCAAAAAACAGCTCTCCCAGCACGGTGGATGGCACGGAAAGCTTGCGATTGGACGGCCTGAGGTCTTTTGGTTGCTTCGAGGATGACAAAACACACCCGTTCGTGCAGGCCCTCAACGAGGCGAGTGACATTGCATCATGCCACGGTGCATCGCCCCTCTTTGGTTTGTCTTCAGGTAAAAGACCCGAAGTTAATGGATTCCCTTTGGTTTGCCTTCCCAAACCCCAACAAGGTACCCTCAGACAAGGGGACAGCGACCGTTTTAATCTCTGCTTTTGCCGACCAGGCAAGTGCCAAGGTTTCTTCTTTCCAGATTGGGGACCTCTGGTTTCCTTTCAACATTGACCCTGAAATGTCACCTAAGTTTGTTTCGCAGTCAAATCAACTGGAGTAATCAGAATAAGTCCCCCTTCGCATCCCAAGGAAGTTCGCTCCCTGCTTCGACATATGCACTCACTGTGAATTCACGCACACGCACACGCACACATGCATGCATGCGTGCACACATGCTCGCATGCATGCATGCATGCACACGCACGTGAAGACAACCGTCACCAGAAAGGCAGACTCAGCGCAAACAAGCACAATCCACAATGATAGGCACAAACAGCCACAACGAGAGGAACAAAGCACACGCAAGCGCAAACAACAAGCGCAAATTGAAGCCGCACGCGCACAGAACAGTCCGCCGCAGGTAATTCAGTGCTTCGACCCAGTGGGGCGCTGGCCTGTCTTTCTGCGTCCCATTTTCGTCAGAGAGAAGCTGCGGAAGTGGCGTGGCGGACAGGGGCGAGGGCGAAGTTGTGGTTGGGCTCATCAACGTGAAGCGGGAAGTGTGCCAGCATAACTACTTGGTGCATTCATACACGCACACACACACACACACACACACACGTGTATTTTGTTGTCGGACTCGGCTATGTTCTGGCTTATTCTGTCTCATTTGGAAGGCAGCACTTGTTTGTGGTCGGGGATTCCATTGGCCTGGTCAAGTGAATGTTCGAGGGAAGTGTCATGGGTCGTGAGATGCGCCGCCAGCTTGTCGGAGACCCCCGCTGCGTCACCTTTTCCCTTTAAGATGTCCCTCTGACTGTACTTGGTAAGAGGCTTGCCGCATGCCATTTTCTCATGAAACGTGTCCTGCAGGTACATGGACGGCTCTCGTTGTTGCTTGGCCGGCACTGGCATGAATCGATCGTGGTCCAGCTTGGATTTTTTTGGTTCCTTAGCCCTTTTTGCCCCTGACCTCAGAGACTCCGCCTAGCCCCTTGCTTTCTCGAACTCTTTCGGCTGACCCGAGACCTGCGAGAATATTGTGTGGACATCATCAAGAAGCGTCGGCAGGAGGGGCAGCAGGAGAAGAAGGCCGGCGAGAGCACACTGAAAGGTCAGACCATTCACAGATCATGACATAATATTGGCCAGTTTGGCCACCTGTCGAGATTGCCTCTGATAGACCTTGGAGCTGGTAAAGGTCTTCATGACATGTCTTGCAGGGCTGAGGAGGTGGTGCTGTCTTTGTCAGAAGGCCATTGGTTTGCCCGCCTCGCTTTTGTCCGTATCGCGGAGGACCTCATCGACCGGATGCTCTTTGACGTGGACGCAAAGACTGGTAAAAAGATGCGACTTTGCTCAGCGTGGGTTTTGGATTGCACGTGCTTCCAGTGAGGAAGATCCAGAAACACTCCACATTGGCCCAGCGGTTGCATGACTTGCTTGAAGGCACTGACCAATGGTGCTTCGCACTTTGGAGGTGCCTGCTCCCAGGCTCAACGGATGTCCAAGCCCAAGCTTCAAACTATGTGTGCCCTCTCACAGAGAGCCCATCCCAGCAGGCGTTGGCAGGCCACACACACACACACGATTGGGGCCTGTCTCGAGATCGGACATTCCTCGGAGCCATCCAATCAAAGCCATCCAACAAGGGGGCGAGTCCCATACTTGAATAGGGAACTGCCTCAAAGTGGTTGGTGGACATAAATCCCCAGCCAAAATCATGTCCGCCAAAGGGTCTCGCATAAGAATGAGTTCAGCTCTCATCCGGCAGGGTTCAGACTCTGAGGTCAGAGGAGTCGATTGTTGACAACCTGTTGACGTTTCTCTTGGCCGGGCAAGACTCCACAGCGGCTGCAATGGCATCGTGCCTGTGCTACCTTTGCGACAACCCAGAGTGCAAGGAGCTTGTCAAATGGGCGTTTCTCAATAGGGGTCCACCAAAATGTTCGGTTTCCATGTGGTTTCCCTTAAAGAAACGACCAACAGGGGGTCCACCATTTGAGAAACTCCCACATGATATGGTCAGCAGAGCTGAAAGATGTGGTCGGACACGTTGAAGGTACCCTTTTGGTGAGGGCTTTCAAAGAGCTAAGACACACCCACCTGCGTCACCCTCACAGATGAGGCTCTTCCACGACAACGGGTCTCAAGACAGTGTTGTGTGAGAGTTTGGCTAGATGCACTCTCTCAGGCGTCTCCTTTCGGCTTCTGTTTCTTTCAACACGAGGTTTCAACATGCGAACATGGAACAAATGTGGGTGGTCCGATCCACATTCGCTACATACCTTTAAAGCACAGTCCAAAACACACCCTGCGCTGCCGTTGTTTGTCAGTCCGCCCAACGTCAAGCTTTAGGTCTGACCCTTTTGGACGGTTGTTGAGTTGCTCTTAGCTCTCGGTCTTTGCAGGGATGCGGCTTTGCGGGTGGGCGGCTTTGACAAGAACCGCTGGTGAAGAGCATGGGGAAGGAATCCACCCTCAGATGTGAGTGTATCCCAGAGGGCGGCCCTTCAAAGTTTGTCGTCCCTTTCATTCTGGCTTGCATTAAACAAACGTCCAGAAACTCCGGTACCCTTCATTGGTGGTGTGAATTGGTGGTTGGGATTTGAACCCCAGTTCCATTCGAATCTAAGCGGGGAATGTGCCCCGCAAAAGTCCAAAACAGCACACCAAACCACCAATGGGGCGGAAGGTGAGACAGATTCCCAACGGGTGGTTTCCTTCTGGTTTCCGATTAAATGCCATACAAAAGGAAGGCCCGTTTTTTTGAGAGAAGCTCGCGTTGCGATTCAACAACCGATTCCCAGGACCAGATTCCCAGAAGGACCCTGCCAGTAGATTCAACAAGGGGTCCCTCAAAGGATAGGAATGGGCCAGCTAGAAAGTCGCCTTCACCTTGGAGGACCCTTGCAAAGCAAGTTATATCTGGAATGTAAGGAACCCTTGGGAGAGGGGGTATTTGTTTCGTTTGGGGAAAGGGTTCAACCCGGTTGCAGGAGAAGCTGTTGAGGGAGATCGACGAGGTGGTGGGCCAGGGTGAGGTGGCCTGGGAACACCTCGGCAAGCTGCAGCCTGGGGCCCCATGTGGATACATCCGGTCGAAATCGGGGGGAAAACGGGCCTGTTGCGGCATTCATCCATTTGGTAATTTTAGTAGTAGTACCTGGTTCAGTTGGGGTCACAGTAAAGCAGCTATAAACAGTTTTACCCATGTTAGTAGAACCAAACGTGAAGGGGTTTGGGCCGCTGCTCGATTAAGTTTTACTTTTGGGTGATTTCAGTGGTCCGTAGGTGAGTGACATGGAAGGAACCCTGAGAAACCGGACCTGTAGCTTTAGCTGCCATGCAGCAGTTTTGTTCCTTTTGCTTTTGCACCAGGTTCCCTTTAGCAGTGGAGGGACATGTGTTGTGTTTTATTGGCATCGAATCTGCCACCACCCCCCAAACAGGTGGTCTGCCTTCCTGTTTCGCGAGCAAGCCACCTCGGGGTCGATCAATGGCCCAAGAAGCTTTGCTCATGCCAAGCGGGCACTCAAAGCACGGTAGACCCACCCATCCACTACCCTCAATAGCGCGCATCTTGTTTTTCAACATTAAAGATTTGCCTTTCGTGCACATGGGGGTTGTCAAGATTGAGGGCTTGGTATTTCGGTGGCTCCTTTCAAAGATGGCACCGCTAGCATTTGTTCGCATGCGCGTGGACATTGAAGCGTCTATGATGGGCTTTGCTTTGTCCACAGCATGGTTGGGTGACTAGCGCGCTTTGTAGACCAAAAGGAGTGCAGCTGGAAAGGGGCAGCTGGATTTTCATCCAGTGCCCTTGGTGTTCCTTTTTCAGTGCGTTTTGGGGTTCCATACATTTTTACATTTTGAGCCCCTTGTTGACCAGCGCAAGGCCGGCGTTCGAGACCTCGCCGCAAATGTCAACTTTGGACTCTGGAGGTTTGCGTTTGATCTGTTCAGAAGGGTTTCCGGAAATGGATCGAATCAGCATGTTTCCCCTCATCACTTTTTCCACAAGAACTAACTCTGATCTGTCCAGGGCTCATAGACATCCGAAGTGGAACATGTCGCTGGATGATTTCTTTAAAGGGGGACCTGTGCAGAATACGCCAGAACTCACAATCCCAACGTGGCAATCTTGTGTCTCTCCCTATAAAAAGCTTTCTCGATTCAGCCCTGCCGGAATTTACCGCTTCCCAGAAGCAGGTACCAGGAAATTCAACTTCAACGCCTCCGGCTCAGACTGCCGACATTACACGCCTGTTCCCCCCCAAGATCTATTCCCCTTTCCCCCTGTAAGATCTTCCCCCCTTTTCTCCCAAGATCTTTTCCCCCCTTCCCTCCTAGATCTTTTCCCCTCTTTTTCCTTTAATGGGGGGGGGAAGTGGGGAACAGATCTTCGTGGTAAAAAGGTGGAAAATATCTTAGGGGGGAAAGGGGGGAACAGATCTTCGTGGGGAAAAAGGTGGACGAGATCTTAGGGGGGGAAAGGGAGGAGAAGATCTGGGGGAAGGTGGGGAGAAGATCTTGGGGGGGAAGGGGGGGGAAGAAGATCCCCCCCCCGCAAGAATCTGTTCCCCCCTTCTCCCCCCCTTTCTAAGATTTTTTCGCCCCTCTCCCCGCTGAAAAAACGGACACAAAGGGTCAGCGATCTTAAAGGAAAAAGAGGGGAACCGATCTTAGGGGGGAAGATCTTAGGAGCAGAAAGGGGGGAAAGGTCTTAGAGGGGAAAAAGGGGGGGTGTTGCAGGGAAACCGGAAACCACCTGTTTGGCAGGTTTTGGGACAACCCCACATCCCTCCCCGCCATGTAGTATGTCATACGGGAATTTTCGGAGACCGACTCTGGACCCAGGTACCTGGACTGGTGCATCAAGGAGACCTTGCGTTTGATGCCTCCGGCCGCGGCCACCATCCGGCAGTCCACGAAGGACCAGCTGCTGGGGTCCTTCTTCGTGCCCAAGAAGGCGCGCGACGTCAAGCGAGCGGAATCTCTTGGGGGGGGGGGAACTTTCCGCGACCTTCACCTAAAGTGGATGGATGTGCGGACAGGTGAAATAAGGTGTCGGAGAAGGGTCTTGACAAAGGCGGGAGGCTGGTGGTTGGTTGGTGATTGGTGATAGGTGGCTGGTGGATGTCACTAGATGAGTGATTTGTTCATAGTGTCGCAACTTAGTGGGAGAAAGCGATTGAGAATACCAGGAGAAAGCACATGCCATTTGTGCCAATCAACCGCTTTTTTTGACTCAGTAGCGAACGCATGCACGGGAGTGCTGATTTTGCTCGGCCACTTGGGAATGGGAGCGTCTGGGGGTCCAGCCTTAAGTCCTTCGAGCTGGTAGCTGGACACAGCAACCTTGGCGTTACCAACTTCAGCGCTTCTTTTGCGAGGCCTGTCGGGAAAAGCTTTGGCCTTGCGTTTCTGTAGGGTTCTCAGTTTGATGAATTTCTCGCAGTCCGATGCTCCGGAGCGGGGAGAAAACCAGGTCCGTTCCACGAGTTGAAGCCGGTGGACACGTGTTCAAGATGTCAGCCAGCTTCAAGTTGGTCCGCAGAGGCAAACAACAGCTGTATCAACCACTTGGGCTGGTGTCAAAACGACAACATGATGAGTTTCATGCAGGCAGGATGTTTGAGCTTCGGATCCCCTAGGTGACTGTGCTGGTCAACATGGTGGCACTGCACTACGGCTCCTTGTCAACGTGACTGCGGAATCGCCAGATGGTTTTACTGGGCAAAGGGCGATCCCATTTGAACCCTGAAACACCAATCAAGAGACGTCCGGAGAAGTTGAAGGATATTGCTTAGCCGAGAGAAGGCAAGGCATTTTAGGCGACGTTGGGTTTTATGCTTGAGCTTCTGGCTGGGCTGGGCTGTTTCTTTGCCCCACTTGATCTTGCCCTCGCAGATCTCGCTCCAACGGATGCTCTCAGAAGGGGCTGACCTTGACTGACACCAGGATGTATTTGACGTGTCAAATGAGTGGATGAGCTCTGCTGGAGGGCCGGCATTCGGAGATAGCATCCTCACAAGCTCTGGGTTTCCGAGAAGGGAGATGAATGTACTGTCGAACGGACTGCACTGCTGCAGCCTTGTTGTGTACTGTCTACACCGATGCTAAGATACAGATCTTTGGGGGAAGGACGCTGACAGCTTCAAGCCAGAACGCTGGGAGCAGCTTGGATCGCAGGGGATCGGTATTGGGCTTTTGCTCAGGCGAGAATAAGAGCAATGAAGGCTGGAGACTATAAAGAGGTTCTGGAGGCTGCCGCCGAGCAGGGCGTAGGATTTGAGCAAATCCGTTTTTCCTGAAACGCGAGGTTTCCCCTTTATGGTCGGCATGCTTTTGGTTTTCCTTGAACTCAAGGGGGGTTCTCTATTGCGGGAAAGACGAATAACTGCCATCGCTGTGGGGTGCAAAGTTGAAGTTGGAGACATTGGCGGGTCCGGAATCCTTAGGCATTTCCTTGCGTTTCGTGTTGAAGTGAAGTTTCATGTTGAAGTGAAGATGATATGCTGATTCCGTGACGAATACGCAATGTCCCACTCAAACTGAAGCATGAGCGAAATCTACTGGTTGTCCATATACGTGGATATTCATGGACAGCATCTTGAAAGTGGGGTTACCATATTTTCTATATAGTACCAAACATGAATCGTGACGCAAGATTGATACACGTACAGCTATACAATCAAGACAACCATGCATATCCAGTTTAAGAGGAGCCACAGATAGACCAGGGGAGCTAAAGGCCGATCGAGAACATCCTGGGTTTCGACATTGCCAAAAGGGTGCCCTCAAATGGACTCTTTGCAGGACTTTCCAAGGCTTGCTGCAGACAGATCCCAGTGGCTACGATTGCCGGGATTCAGGGGGCAATGTTTGGTACACATTTGAGCACCAGTTGGATAGTTGCATTTCAGACGACCTTGCCTAGCTTCATTCAGATTTTGTTAGGGATTTCTCGGTTGTTGGTGAGGAACCCTTGCTCATCACATTTGAACCACTATTGGGAAGACTATTCGGAAGACGAATGTCTTGATTGGAAGCAGTCCGAGGAAAGGGCAGCCGCACAAGTTTGCCTACCTCCCCTTCGCCTTTGGACCCCGTGCCTGCATTGGCCGGGAATTCACCCTGATGGAGCAGAAGGTGACCATGGTGCGGGCACCAAAGAGAGAGAGAGAGAGAGAGAGAAACAGAACAAGGAGTGCACGATTTCGCCAAGATTTCGGGAAGCAAACAATAAAACCTTTTCTTGGCTGACTCTTCTGCATTTTTAGGGTCTTGTGCGTGGGTCCTCGGAGTGCGATATTCTCTGGAGTCGTTTGACACAAGTTTGGCCCGCCCTGTCTCCACGCTATTGATCTGCCCACCTAGCCACCCAGGCACAGTTCTAGCTCCAGGGATCCTGGGCCTGGGGCAAAGCAGATCAAAGTGAAGTTTCAAAGCACCCGTCTGAATGCCTGATATCCGCTTAGCTTTCTTTGAAAGCCCACTGACTAAGCCCCCTGAGTGTGACACGCACACACACACACACACACACACACGAAGCCTACATTTAACAACGCAGATGTTTGAGGACGTGCACATGATCAACTGTACCTTCTGAGTGCATTTGGTGTTGCCTATGACCAACACATCCGCAAGTTGTCAGGTCAAGCTCTTCCAGAACTTTGATGTTGAGCCTGTCCCGACGGAGAAGGCCAGCGTGAGGCGGTTCTCGACTCCTGCGCGGTCTAGGCTTCATGGTTTAATCTTCAATCCAGGATGGTGCTAGCACATCCTGGATTATCCTAAGGATGACCCAAAAGGCAGAACGAAAGGTGCGTTTTCCAAGCATCGATTTGATAAGAGCAAAATGCATTTTACCTGCAACGACCTTATTATCAAACCCTAAGTACTCTGGGGGGAATCATATGCATACGTACAGACATATACATACATACATAGTAAAAATACGTATATATATATACACATACGCATGTTGTGTATAACACTTGTTCATGCATTTGATATATGCATTACGCAACATATCACTCAAGACCTGGCGTTTTTATAGTTTTCAATGAGCACACCGGGTCTCGCTGAGGTGGAGGGCTACACCACGCTCAAGGCGAACGACAGCCTGCCGCCCTTCCTTGGATTCCCCACGTGGCTCGGCAAGAGCTCAGGCACGTGATGAGCAGCGGGTCAATATCTGTCACACTCCGAAACTATTACCCCGAGGAGAATGGGGTTTGTACCCTTTACATAATTATCGACTACAGTGGTTGTATATCCAATTAAACCTCCTTGGCGTAGTGGCTTGGGCATAGTGGACACTAGGACATGGGGCTCACCAAATTCCTATTCCGAAAGTGAAGCGGTCCTCAAAATGAGTTTCCGGGGTTTATGAAGCAGGGGTCAAAAGTGCCAGGTAAACTAGAGTAATCCGCGCAGAGGATGACGGGCATGGGCGCGGGGTACCTTTGAACTTTTGGAAATTCATCCCACCTGCTTAGCTGGGGGCAAAGGGGGTAGCAATGCCATTTGCTGAGTCTGTTGGCTTGCGCATTCAGGCAAGCCAAGAAGGACTGGGTTCACAGGGCAAAGGCGGTCGTCTTGTTTGTGTGCAGCATCAACAAAGCTCCGCGTTCAATTGCTCGGATTGCAGCATGACAGGACAGTGCCTTTGTCGGGGTCTACAGCAACTTCAAGCTCTTGCCACGCGCGCAGGTGCGATACCTGAAGCCTCTGCAGCTGTGGCATTAATATTCCGCAATGGCAATGGGAACTTTTGACTTTGAGTTCAGCCTGTAGAGTCATAAGTAGTACTTGATCCTAGGTCCTAAGTGGTTTTTCCCGAAAGCATTGCGAAGGGTTCTTCCGTATTTTTTTAGACTTATCGCCCAGCAAGATACACGAGAGGACATTTCGAGCGCACACGCAGAGCAAGATGCACGAGAGCCCATGCATTGCAAGAGATACGAGAGCCCACGCCTACCAAGAGACACGTGGGGTTGGATTGGCCGATGAGCAAAAACAGAAGACTTGTTCTACTTTTTGACCCTCGGACCCGCTGTGCAAAAACTGGGGACTGCTTCTACTTTTTTGAGGTCCGCACCGACCCTCTGCGGGAGTTGGCGTGAGGATTTTTTCTACTGACGCTATGCGGGGATATGCGTGCGGCCGAGATTCAAAATGTTGAGTTATTCTGCTTTTGGATCCGAGTGCGTGACCCTCTGTGGAGATTGGCCTGGTCGAGGACCTTTCAACACTTATTTGCACGCGCGAGCCTCCGCGTGGGTTCGCGTGGTCGATGTCGCAAACTCAGGACTTGTTCTACTTTTTGCGGTGCACCGCGCGATTCTCTGCTGGGATCGGCGTGGTCGATGTGCTCAGCTGGAGTGTTTTGCAGCTCTTGGCGGTACTTGCGCCGCTTGCGCGGAGAACGACCCTTTGCGCTGAGAACGATGCGCTGGGTAGACATCTTGAGCAGAGAAATGTGAGCCGAGAACTTGCTCAAAGAGATGTTCGCAGAGAACTTGCACAGAGCGAATGGAGCAGAGAAATTTAAGCCTAATGTGAGAAGAGAAGCTTGCGCCGAGAAATGTGCTCCGAGAACTTGCGCAGAGAAACTTGTGCGCAACATTTGCTCAGAGAACTTGCGGAGACACGCTTGTTCAGATAAATTCGCAAGGTTTCTTCTATTGTTCAAGCCCGCAAGCCACTCTCTGCAACCAAAGTCAATCAGCGATCAGGTCAAGAAGGTGAGCAGGGTTCTCTTTCGGCTGACGTCACCTTGAGTCATGCAGGGAGTAAACAGGGGGCTTTCATTGCAGGGGTGCAAGTCAGCGCGCCCGCTGAATAACCCCAACGGGTCAACTATGGTTTTGGTTTCCCTAAAGTGTCGGATTCCTTTTTGAGATATGCTACACTTTTCGGTTGGGGCAAACCAGGGACCGAAGCTTGCGCCGGAAGCTTTTCTTGTTCGACGCCCGGACAGGCTGCCTGACAGTGAGGGTGGTCTCTCCAGCCGGAAAGGTGCGGAGGCTAACCCGGGGTTTGTCTGACAGTTGGAGGTGTCTCCTCCAGCCGGCTCGGCGGGAGGCGTGCCCCCAAGTTTAATTTTTAATTGGTGCATACAGATTGCCAAGTTGCTGGGAAGGTAACAACTGGCGGTGCAGGGAGTACAGTGTTTGCTGGAGGCCGTTTTGTCATGACCTCGCTTTGTGCAGTTTCAAGAGGTCTGTGACTTGGCCAGCGGTGCGCATCCCGATATTGCCATAAATTGAGCGGATCAAGCGCTTTTTCCCAGTGTCCATGCCTGCAGGTCACCGGATCGGCTCCTGCAGAGCATGGTTGCCGTCCCCGATGTGCAAGCTCAAGCCTTGTACAACTTGTGCGTCTCTGCAACGGACAGCAAAAGGTGCTGCTTCAGGCCGCCCTCATTTGCTGTTGTACTGGAGGTTGCATGGGCAACTTATCCAGTTGCCATTAGAATACTCAGCATATACAAATATATGTCTATATATATACACATGCATATCAGCACATATTTATATACATATATGCACATGTATGTGCATACATTTGCATGTATATGTGATTATATGCATGTGAATATATACATATATATATATACATATATATATATATATATATAGATGCATATACACACCAGAAACGTCTGGCAGAGCTGGGGGGGCAAGTCAAAGATAAAAACAAGTACTCGGGAGCCAACTTCTCTTCTCCTCCTCTGGCTCCGTCTCTGCTCTTCCTCTTTCTCTTTCTCTTTCTTGCTTTGCATTGCTTTGTTGGGGTTTTGTGTATTTCTTTCTTTTGTTATATTCTATTCTTTTCTATTCTATTCTACTCTATTCTCTTCTATTCCATTGCATTCAATTCCATTCCATTCCATTCTAGTCTGTTCTGTTCTGTTCTGTTCTATTCTATTCTGTTCTATTCTATTGTATTATATTCTATTCTATTCTATCTTTCTATCTGTCTGTCTTTATTTCTTTCTTTTTTTTCCTTCTTTCTTTCTTTCTTTCTTTCTTGCTTTCTTTGAGTTTTTGCGGGTCGGCGCCATGAAGGTGCCCAGAGGGGTTCTGCTCGCAAAGTGAACAATGCAAAACCAGACCGGGTTGCTGAAGGTGCGCCACAGGGAGCAATTCATTATGTAAAGGTAAACAGAGTTTGGGTCAACCATACGCAAGCCCACAGAGGGCTCACCATTCAGTGGTGGCGAAGAAGTGCATGCGGCCGTGCCAACGGTCCTCGTTTCAAGAGCACTCTGCACCCGAATTCATGCATAGAGCCACGTGTTCTGCTCGTTTCTATCCTCCTGTTCTCGCGAGTTCTGGGTTTTCGTAGCCTCTTCATGCACAGCGCATATTCGTACAGAGAGCATGCATAACAGCTGAATGAAATGAACTAGCTATTTCCAGTGCTACGTAAGTTCTTGTTAGACCTCGTTTGACGAATACACGAACAGCTACATACGCACTGATCCCTTTTAATATAGAAGAAGGATCACAGATTTCAGAGCATTCCCGCGCTTGGCATAAGGTTTGAGAGCTGGCTTAAGCTGGAGGCACCTAGCTTCCATTTTGTGAAAGGTTTCACCGCGTTTGGACCATACTCAAATTCGAAGTACTGGGCAAAGTCATTGAACTCCAGTTCATGCGCAGCTTCTTGGTCGTTTTTGGCTGCTGATAGCTTTGGTGGCACGTAACTGCCAGGTCCTGGAATGGAACGCTGCACACCCCTGATGCAGCCAAGACTTTAGGCCAAGCGATTGTCGAGGAGTAGTTCTTTGGAGTTCGAGCTACGCAGAAGCACGGGAGCATAATTTGCCGCCCTGCTGCGCGAGAACGCTGTTTGTCTTTCGGATCTGACAGAGGATTAGCTGAAGCGTGTGGCTCCTCTTGTTCGTTGAAGGCCGCGGACAGATCCAATCGCAGGAAGTTGCTTCTTTGGTGGCTCTTGCGCAGCGGAATTGCCGCAATGTTTCCTTGTGCAATGCTGCCGTGCTTGTTAGTATTTAGGTGCAACGACCGCTCACGCGGAGAAAAATGCAGAGGCAGCGGACAAAATCAGGGTTTATCCATTGACCCCTTGGCCCGTGGGAATGAATTTCAATTGGGGGATCCTTTAGTGGACATTAGCTTACACTGTTTGTGTCGGCTAGCCACCCCGGCCATTTACGAAAAAGAAGAGGCCCCTTCAAACTTCAGCCACGCGCTTTTCAAGGAGATGATTGATACGTTGGAGCAGACCAACCGTGAGGAGATGGGCAAGAAGGCTGGGGAGCTGGGCGAATGGGGAACTCTGATCCTGTTTTGTTTGCGAGGACCCGGTGGTCCTTGTTCCATTCAGGTAGTGTGAAAAGGCTGGCTAGCTGGTGAATGTTTGCACCTGAGCAACGGGTGTCATCCCGGGTTGCGCTAAAACCACCTTTCGGAGTTAGAGTTTAGGATACATGTTTCACATTGGGCTTTCAGCCCCCCTCCAGCAACCCGCAATCCTGTCACGTGACACTAGAGCCGTTGACATGTCAAGGGAAAAGGCTTTCGACGATTTTGCAACCCCGAAAGTGTGGTCAAGCAAACCACTTCTTCTGGGTAGCAAAGCATACACTACTTTCATTGCTTGTGGCACGTGCGGGCCCTCGCGAAATTCGGTCAGTCCACACAGCAAGCAAGTGTGTCCACTGAGCCGTGTTCGTACTGAGGCTTTCTGCGATCAGGCGTCTGCCTCAGAGGCCACAAGCACCAGGTCTAAAAGTCCCTATCCACATAGGACACAAAAGCTGGCCGAGTGCGAAACCACTCAAGTCACTTGCAACCCAGTGATAGCAACATGCTTCCATTTTGACCGAAACGCCGTCATGGGTAGCCAGCAGCCAGGTTATTCTAGTGCTGCAAGCGCGATCAACAGATTGCAAAGATGTGTGGTAACAAGTTGCTTCATGCCTGCCATTTTTCACGCGCTCTCCGTCTCGGAGTCTCGCAGCTCATTTTTCAGACGAGGGACATGGCAAGATCGTGAAGCATGGCGCCTATTCAGCGCGAACCCAAACCTGGGAGCAGCCCGAGGAACTGAAGCATACCGAAGCGACCCTGAGCGACCGGCAGGAGCGGGCGGGGGGGGGGGGCTTTTGAGATGTGGCCTTATGTTTTCTACCGCCACCCTTCCCACGTACTGCCCACCGCTTTCCACTCACTTGCACCATTTGAGAATGGCACTTTGAGCCGATTGTTTTGAATGAACCCTGGAGCCGATTGTGTTGTTGGGGCATCCACGCTATTCAAAATGTCTGCAGGGAGCAGAGAGCACCCAGAGTTTCTCCACCCCCCCCCAGATTTGCCCCTGGTTTCCCCAAGCACAATTTTGAGGCACCCTTTGATTTTTAATGGAGAACCACCTCAAAGTGGTGGATGTAGCACGCGCAGGATGAGGCGAAGAGCAAGAAGGCTGCTCTGGACCTCACTGCCTCGCAGGCCGCAGATTCAATTGAGCCAACCCCCGTTGGCCATTGTAAGTGGTACCTGGTTGAAGGTTACAAGGCCTAGACCTCAAGTATAAACCTCTAAGAACATACAAACTACTAGAAATCAAAGGATTTTGGGCGCTCAAGTCGATCCGGATCCTTTCAGCCTGGGAAGCAGGCAGCCCCAGTTTGGTTGGGAGGAGCCAGGCCACTTGGACTAGATTTCCCACACATTTTCCGATAATTTTGAATCCCTAGCACAGGGAAGGTGATACCAACGTGACTTCAGAGTGATAGAGTTCAAGATCGTTTGATGTTTTCTCGGGAATCTCGAATTTCAAAGTCACCCGAAAGCGATTGTAAGACCTCATTTCCAGCCAGAATGTTAAATCTTGGATTTCGTCAATTTTGAGATCGTTTGAAGTCCTTGAAGCTATAGTCCGCCCTGGAGCACGTGCAGAATGAGCTTGAGGTTGAAACCCGTCTTCCTTTGACTGTACGAGATCCTTGGAATTGCAGTGGTTTCGACCTTTGAGGAGACTTATCAGTTTTGATTTTACGGTTTCCACACTCTCTGCTGCCCAGTTTATGGTTCGGCCCGTCCGAGCTATTGCAGGACACCCTCGCACGTCACCAGGTTGCCCTTACAGGGATCAACAGACAGGCCAGACTACACAGCATCTAGAGAATCGTCGCAACATGGCAACAAGAACGCGGCGTCGGCCCGAGCACCAAACAAGACAAACAAACACTTGGATGGGGCCCAACCAAATAGCTTTCTCCACAACCCAATCTCGGACGTCCCCAGTATGGACCCACAGGCTGCCCTGGAGTAAGCAAGTTGACTTCGTTCATTGTTTGCTCCGGTGTCACTTTCAATCAAGCACTGAGGTGTTGCTGAGGGTGTCGTCCACTTTATATGCTGGGAGTGTCGACCACCTTATCTACTACAATCGCTACATTTACTTCTAGAAGGAGCATTTCCTTACTAGCACGCTGGTGATACTGGGGCTGCCGACCACTTCAGCTAGTAGACCAGAGCGACGGATGCTGGAGGTGTCGATCACTTTGGTTAATCAAGGCCCTCAAAAGCAGAACGAGTCATGTCCTGCTCGAAAAGCGCCACTTTGAAGTTCGTTTTTTCAATGATGTTGATGCCGTCGAATGACTTTGAAAACTTGAGTTTGCAACCGCGACATCTGCGCATTCAAGGAGTGTGAAAACTACACACGATTCTGTCTCCTGCACGTGCGTGTGTTAATCGTCTCAAGTGTTCAACCTTTTCTCAAACCTTTTTGTCAGCAGCAAAGGGTTTCCTTGATCACAAGCTGGCGATGCTGGAGGTAGTCAACAAAGACCGTCAACAGTAGATCGGGTCGTGTCGGGCTGGAAAAGTAAGTTTCGCAGTTCGTTTTGCAAAGAACTTTGATGCCGTCGTATGACTCTGAAAGCTCGAGTTTGGAAACCGCAACATCTACTTTTTGAAGCGAAGCTATTAACACGACGCCCGATTCGGCCTCCCACACCATGCTTTTTTCCAATCCCGGTACCTGGCTGCAAAATGCTTCAGTCCAGCCGGTTGTTGGCCCTGGGACTATGTGAGAACATGCCAGGAGAACTCAGATGGCTGCAATCAAGTTTTCCAACAATGATCTACAAAGCTTATCGGCTTATCGCTTTGCAGCTTGAGGTTGAGCTGAAAGTTCCCGATGTCAAGTTTGGGGAGAAATTGTTTGTCGCTTTGCTTAACATGGCAGCGTTCCCAGAATGGCTTGCTTTGCTCACCGACTTTGACACACGAACCGTCGGCATGTTTGTCGTACAATTGCCCTGGACCTACCTTATAAGAGCTGTAAGACAGTAGGGGCTTCCTTAGTGTGATTTTGAAGTATATGAAGCACGCAGCGTGATTACATCATATCTATGCGACGCCATTGCTGCGAACCTTGCGAAAAAGCAAGGATGTGTTGTTACTGCTAGCTGTTAGCCTCCCTGTTGAGTTGGCTGAGAGAGTGGCCCAGGGGCGAAAGGAGCAGGCCAGTCACAAAAACGTGGAAGCTGAGTAGTCCAAAACATGACTGTAGCCCATTTTTGTATTGCGCTGCACAGCACGACTATATAGCCGTTATTTGACATTTATCTGAGAACACACACACACACACACCTATAACACTTGTCATTGTGCGCATGTATGAGCTAGACTTATTATCAGGCCACCACGCTTTGATGACCCTCGTTTGCACGGAAGCGCTTATATAACCACAGGAGCCAAATAAACATGAAGGCCCTCTCGGGTCGCCAGCATATATACATCATGCAGCTGGTCAGCGTTCCCAGTTTGAAACGGTTGGATGGGGAGTGGCTGAATGAGACCCAGGGGAAATTCCGACCGACCCTTTCCAGTCCGTTGTGCCTTTGCCATGCGCAAGGTGGCCCAGCTGCGGCAAGAGCTGGCGGAGCTGGCGCAGCAGCTGCTGGGATTGCCTTGAGCCGCTGATTCTTCCCATTCGAAACCTTGACGCCCGATGGAGGTTTCTCACACCGGAGTGGTTGGTAGTTTAGGGGAGGTTAAATGCAAAGCCAAGCATTGTCGAATTGTAGAAACCACGATTTTGAGAAACATGCAGATGATAGTATGTGGTACAGTTAGGTGAAAGCACTTGGCAACATTGCTGCGTTTTGGTGTTGCCATCCCGGGCTCACATAAAGGGAGTTGTGCCGTCTACTTTTGGATTAGGATTAGGGATCCCCCAGTTTGAACAACCCTAATTTCGAGCGTCAGCCTAGCAGGAAATTAGCATGGAGCACTGCCCTGGTTCCTTTTACACGGAGCGCGTCAACTTGGTGTTTGTCTCGGACCAAAAAGTTAGCTTCGGAAAGCGCGCTCAGCCAAAACGGCACCTACTTACTTGGGTTGCAACAATCCTCCATTTCACAACCTTTCACCCGAGTTTTCCAGACGTTCGAGTCTCAGTTGTGTGTCCCATCAACGGCGTCAGGTCTGAGTACTTGCGGAACCTTGAGCAGTGTGCTGCTAGCTCCAATGTCAAGTAGGCTAAGTCATGGGAGACCGGATCGGCCTGACAGTTTCTGCGCAAGAAGACGTGCCGCCAACAGCAGTTGTTTGTGTAGGGGTGTGAGCGTGCATGTGAAGTGCCCTCGGCTCTCTCGAGCAACAACCATCATCGTACCAAGCCAAGCTTCGCCATTTGCAGCAACGACGTGAAGCGTGCGGGCCGAGAGAGTATTGAACAAGAAGTTGGCTTTCCGATTTGTGGCATGCAGGATTGTGTTGTAAGGAGACGAACCAATCAAAACTAGCATGCCGGCTGCTCATGCCGAGGCTAACGAGAGCCAAGGATTTGCATATCACCGGTTGATACGGTCATAGGGGGGTATCCCATTTTAGAGGGTCCTTCACTATTGTTGGCGGAGACACCCACGTGTTCAACCGATCTCGAGATGTTCTTTTCCGTGAGTTTCAACACACATCACCTTTTGGGACCATTTTGAGTGAGATTCCTTTGGGAAGGGTGATGCTTAAACAGGACCTGGTTCAATCCATGGTTCCAGGGTTCCCATTGGGATATGCGAGGCTTGCGGAGATCGCGGCCAATGACCAGGAACTCACCACGCTGCGTGAGGCCTGAGATGCTCTGAGGTACTCCCTTGCAAATGAAGGTGGAGAGCGTTGCCCCCAGGGCCAAGGCAGCTTCTCGCTGCAAAAAACTCAGACCAGAATTCCAAAATCGGGCTCCCTGCACCGCGGGGAGCAACAAATGGCAGTTTCACACGAATGCATTACAACTGTTTTCATGGGGTGGATGGAACCCCCGGCTTGGCAGCCAAGTGTACTGACCGTGGCATGGATGACTTAACTTCCTGCTATCCTTCATCCGGCAAAAGAAGCAAACTGGCCTGAACGTGGGTCTCTCCAAGGTGTTGACACAAACATGAGCCTTTTGACGGTCCCCGTTTGGCTTCTGGGCATGGCATTCGGTGAAACGGTGTCAGGAGGAGCACCAGCAGCACTTGAAGGCGCCGGCTGGTCGTTCAGCTTGATGTGCAAGAGCAGAAGGTGAAAACACATGGTGTTCTTGAAAACGGTTTGGATGTGGCTTTTGTGGTCCCACCCCTGTAGAAAGTTAAAAGAGTACTAAAGGATTACTAAAAAAGGACCAACAGGGGGAAGAACAGGTGAAATCCACAAAAGGCGCAACCAAAACGGTTTCTAGAGGTGTGGCAACGGAGGTACCTTTGGAGCGACAAACCTCTATGATTGGAATGTTGGGGTGCAATTTTGTGAGGTCTTAACGATCATCACCTTGTGCCAGAGCATGCCACTTCTGACGGCAATGCTATAGCATTGAGAAGTCAAAAGGTTGGCAACCGTTCGTCTCCGAAAAAGCACACACCTGCACTGTTACGAGGACTCCTTTGGGACAGCATGGGTGAATGTGGTGGAATGCTCTCGCTCTCTTGCTCTCTCGCTCCTTCGCTCTTTCGCTCCCGCCCTCTCTCGTTTCTTTTGTATTTATCTCTCTCTCTCTCTCTCTGAATCTCTCTCTTATACTTTCTCTTTTTCTCTTTCTGTGTTTCTCTCTTTCTCTTCTATTTTGTTTCATTGTTTCATAGTTTCTTTCTTTCTTTCTTTGTTTCTTTCTTTCTTTCATTGTTTCTTTCTTTCTTTGTGTCTTTCTTTCTTTCTTTCTTTCTTTCTTTCTTTCTTTCATTTGTTTCTCTCCCCCCCTCCTCTCTCTCTCTCTCTCTCTCTCTCTCTCTCTCTCTCTCTCTCTCTCTCTCTCTCTCTCTCTCTCTTCACTCTCTTTGCCATGTGACAGCGAGAGGAGAAGGACAATTTTGATTTGCTTGAGAAGGTGTTTTTCCAAGCTAAATACTGACTCTTTGCCATGCGACAGCGAGAGGAGAAAGACATTTTTGATTTGCTTGAGAAGGCGTTTTTCCAAGCTAAATACTGACTTTGCTTCTCAGACAACCCTAAATACCGACTTGGGGACGCATGGGCACGCTATCAGCAATTTCGGCAACTTTTCAGCCAGACATCCAGCTTGGCCTGGTTGAAGCTCAGAGGGAAGCTTTGGATCATCAACTTGGTTGCAGCCTGCACGATGTGTTCAGCCCCTGAGAGCTCAACTTATCGTGGCAACTCGGTTCAAGCGACAACCTGAAGGGAAGCCAAAGGGATGCCGCAGGGGGTTGCACATGCTCAAGCTGCCGGTTGCGGCGCTGCATGCCGCGAGAGGATGCAATTGGTTGAGAGGCAGCGCAGCGACCCTTCGAGCCGACAGGCTTACACCGACTTGGAAGCCGGCATTGCGGGCGTGCAGGCAGCCATCAAGGTGCCAGCGAATGATTGGGGGAGCGGCCCTCCTTTAAGGGGAAGCCCGTGAGCAGGTCGCTGTGGCTTCAGGGCACAAAACATGTCCCCAGTTGGCGCCTTTGAGTGTGACTTTGCCAAGCCCTCCCTTAAGGAGAAGTCCGTGAGCCAAACTTGCCGCAGTCAGGTGTGCGAGGCTAAAAATTGGGCTGGGGGCTCCTTTTTGAATCAGAAACCAAATGGCAGTCAACCAGCTACATGGAGGG